AAGACRCTGARTCAAGCACGGTTGAGTGAGATTAGTACTTGGATCGGTGACCTGAAATTTATAGTTACCCAACACTGTTTTTGAATATATTTTCATTTTATTTATTTTCATTTAAAGATACTTGAATAGATATAGGCCTTATAAATGATTTTTCAACTTATGATCCGCCATACTGTAACCCATTCCTAATGTCTACCTACTGAAAATGCTTTGAAAAGTCKTTGAACACGAACAGATTAGCCGTATTCCTTTTTGTTTAAGTGACGGCTTTAATGCTTTTATCAAGTATTTCAAGTGAATGAGAAATGATTCTTTTAGGCAAATGGTATGTAAAAAAAACCTTTTTTGGGAGTAGAATTAAAACATGAAGTTCACACCTAGAAACATAATTTTCCAGTCAAGGCTAAAGTTTCCGAAAAATGTAAGCCTATAGTCAAATATAAGCTCATTTTGCCTAATCATGCAGGCTGGCTGCAAATGCTGCATGAATCGCGAATACTTTGTATACTATGTATTCCTTTTTATTTTTCATTCAATATTTTAATAAATTATCTAAGTATAGAAATAAGCTTATTAAAACTGTTGAATAAAAGTCTTCTTTGTTTTGCCAATAGCATCCACTAGGAGGCCAACATGTACGTAAACTATCCGGATAGTTGGTTAAAAACAACCGAATTCTTGAAGATTGATAAGCTACTAAAATAAAGGGCAAATATTTTTTTCGTAATATGAACCCCTTTTTAAATTTCATCAAGCGTTAAAATAAATTATCTATAGAAATATTAAGACTTTTGAGAGAGTGTCTTTGATTTGTCGATTTGTCGAACGAAACCTGCTTTTCATAAAAATATACGATTGTTCGCTAAAAAAACACGCACTTTAATTCTTAAAGGATACTTCTTAGATGCATCTTTGACTACATAAAATTGTATTTTTCTGTTTTTGGGCTTAAAATTGTCCCTAAGCGATGTCACTTTTCGGTGCATTTTCAGGTAATTTTGCTTTGAAATCAAGCAAAATCCCYGTGGCGTGTACGAACGTACGGACGGAAGYGACGTATAGTAGTCAAGCCATGAAAAATCAACTCGATGGGTTCCATTACCAATGTTTCTTACGTATGGTGCTCGGCTCGCGCGGGCTCTCGGCTAGCGCGGGCTCTCGGCTCGCGCAGGAGCTCGGCCAAAAATTTTTGCTTTGATGCGAAATATGAGATATTTCAATAGATTTAGTTATTGGTTATTACTGAATTTTGAGCAAAAGACCACCTTCACAACCTTCAGTGATACCTTCGAATTTTATCGATACACTGAAACAGCCTAAAGTGTGGATCAAAGTCAGGTCACGGTTAACTAACAGATCGAATTGGAATTTAGCGCATTAGTTTTTACGGAGGGAGGGTAGGAAAACCMAAAACGGAAAACCCTTTGAAAATCCTTCAAATTAAGAGAGTTAMCTTACAAACGAAATGCGAGTGTAGGGCGCCCACCTTCATGCCCCCGCCCCTCCTTCCTTTGAAAAATCCTGGCTACCCCACAGAAGTTGTTTATGAGACAAAGTTACCGGTACTAATAATGGTCGATTGAGATTGAGAATAAATATAATGAAATTTCTTTGACGTTTGGCAATGCCGCTAACATCATTATCAAAATAAAGTAATAACAGGGGCATAGCCAGGATTTTTCAAACAGGATGCCAAAATCCGCCATTTTGTTTGGGTCCCCGAAACGCCGAAGAAAATAAAATAAAATAAAATAAAATAAAAATAGAAGAAGAAAAATAACCTTTAATTTTTTAAAAGTTTTAATTTTGCAAAACTTAGAAAAAATAAATAAATTACCGTATAAATTCTAAAAATTGCTTCCAAGGAGAGGGGGAATCGTCCCGTACGCTCTTAAACAATCTATGTAAACATTACTATAATTGTTACCGGGAACATTTTTTGTTAAATTTATTATTGAAGTAGCTTCTTAAAATGGAAATTGATGAATTTGAAATGAAAATGATCACAACCCACAGACGTTCATTAGATCTAGATCTACCAAGGAACTTACTTTTCCATCCCGCGTTCTTGGAATTCGACTTTCGCGCAGAAGATGACCACCCTGTAACTAAGAGAGTTAGACTATGTTATTTTTATGGCAATCAAAACTGAACTGACAAATTAAAGGTTTATCAGTAAATGTTTGAACTATACCAAGAAGAGGGATCAAAAACGATATGGCGGCTATGTAAGTGACATTGACAAAGGAAGCTCATAACACAAATTTGTGGTTACAGTGCGCAAGGAGGCTGGGCCCTAAGTGTTTCCATGGCAACAACAAAAACGATATAAAATAATATTACTATTTACTATTAACAACAAAATGCTCAAAATGCATTAGATCTTGGCCATCCCCTTTTACAAAAAAATGGAAGAGCTAGTGGAGCCCATAATTTTATGAAATAATCATCAAAAAGAGATAGGGGAGGAGATTGGCCTCTGAAATGTTATGTAAACTGAAATTAAGATCTGATGAATACATAGGAATGAAGTAAACAATATAAAACTGTGTTACCTCTAGTAAACCGAGCCTCTGCAACTTCTGCCATTCTAGATCTAGATTCCTACCTTGACGCTCTCTTGTTGCCTATTTAGTAAGTAATTAAACCAAAACTTCCCAGGTCAAAATAAATTATTGTGTAATAAATAGTTAGTAATATGTAAATGAGTGTGTGAAAGTGTGTGTCCAAAGGTGGGTGTTTGGGTGCATAGGCCTAGGGAGTTAAAGCTGAGGGGTGGAGATGAGTCAGACATCCGGAGACAACAAATGAAGAGAGACACTGTAAAAAAGGTTTTCACCTTTTGCTTAACGATCTTGCCCTTCCCACGTGGTCTTTCCTTGTTTTGATTGTTTTCTGGGTTACGCAATTGGAACCATGCGACAATAAAAATGATGACAGCAATAATGGCGAGGATTATCTGAAAAAGAGGAATATAGTAAAAAAAAAATTTTCTCTTAATGTTTCTATTTATTGAGATCTTTCATTTGCCTAGTAGGATATCTAATTGGTTTTGCGCTGGCTGTCAGCATTCTTAATAATAAATAATAAATCACTTTTATTTAAGTGTTTAGTCGTTCTAGCGATTTCGCACTAATTGGGGACACTTTTCACTCACACGCACTACCACTACATTTAGTATTCTATGCACACAACGCTCAACTCACATGTTGATTTTTATGGAGGGAGGAAACCGGAGAACCCGGAGAAAACCCTCGTAGCATAGGAGAGAGCAACACATTTGAAATAGGCTCGTACCTAGTACGACGTTTGCTGCAATTAAGAACGACCCTAATAGGTTCGAGTCCAGCATACGTTCGACAAGCCAAGTCGGACATTACGAACTCTGGAGCGACTTTGCGTGCCGAACTAAATTCATAAATTATGAAAAATAGTAAATCAATCATGCAAGTCGCATGACTTACACCAAAGCCGTGAAAACAACCACTCCCCCACCTCCCAAACACTCAATTTCCGGATACGCGTGGACGAGGCCTTAGTTGAACTTCCACCGAAACTATGTTAAATAGGTTCGGTGCGACGTTAGTCCGACGTTTGCCCTGGGCCTTAAAGACTCTGATACTAGTAAACCGTCCCTACCAGGGTCTGGTTTATCATTACTCGAGACGTCACGAAATACTTTATCAGTAGTTTTGGAAGCTCTAAATCCTCCATGCATGTTGAAACCAGGTCCCTGCCAACAGGGTCTTGTTTATAATAAATGCAGAACAGAAAAATGAAAACGAAAAATATAAAAAAGCTTAAAATTCAAGTATTTTTTGCTGCTTACTTTGACTGTTATTTTCTTT